TCCTTTGACCATTAATACTAGCTATTGTTATGATGAAAAGAAGTATTAGTGGAGGGTCCATGAGTTGTAGTTTTGAGTGGATGCTGAGCCAAGGTCCCTTTCAAGTAGCCCACAATTGGGGAGGGGGAGGGAAATGGTCCTGAGATATGTATAAAATGACTAGTTTGAATTAGATGTCTAGGGAACCTTCTGTCTCTCAAAATCAATGCTTCCATGTTATGATAACAGATACAGATCTAGTTTAGACACTTAAAGGTGGAGTGGGGAGGGAAAAGGGGCAACAATTGTCAAAAGGCCTAACACAAGAAGAAAGTGAGCTTTATGAGAGACAATGGACCTAAAACAGAGTAACCTAAGAGTGGAGAATGAAGATTTATAGGTAGAATGTGCAAACTCTCCTCTAGTTTTGGTATGCAGAGTTGACCATATGAGCATATTAATATACTCATATAGTCATCACATTCATTTGTAACATATGTTGACACCTCATTATGAAGGTTAGAATCATCTTTGTTGTCCAATAAATCAGAGAAGAAAAATAAGGGATTTTTTCTTTCTTTCTTTCTTTTTCCAATAAAACTGAGTTACCAGAGAAGAAGTAATATTTTAAATTACCAATGGTCACAATTTTGGAATAATTTATCTCTACTTGCTAAGAGATAGTCACTAGTGATTCTACCAGGAATCTTAATTTTAACACCCACTTGTAATAACAACACCCAGCCTTCTTATGAGGGAAATCTAATTTTTAGAACATCCTTCTTGGGGATCAAGATGGAAGGGGAGGGGTCATAAACAGTTTGAGATAACAGGAAACTTGTCACCAGACATTTTTCCAAACTCACAATTTACCAGAACTGGCTAGACATATCTCTTCTGACCATATCTCTTCTCATAAAAATTCCCTGAATTCTGGGGGCTAAAAGCCAAGTCAGAAGATCCTAGCCTCATAAACCATGCTGACAGCAAGACCCATCACTTAATCACTGGCTAACTGTGAGTCCCTGACTTTCAAAATACATTTACTAAGAATCAGAAGAATATGATATATAGAATATAAATTACATTTTTTCTTTGGTTTACTATATTCTCATGTGAACCATTTTCCTCCTAAGTAAGTTAGAGGGACAAAGTCCCAAAAGTTTCTTAGATCCCTTTCAATATTTTCTTAAACTTCAAAGCAAATAATTAAAAAAAATTTAATCTGGAAAGTGACATAGTAAATTAATTTCCTAGACTGATGCCTAGATTCCTAGGCCCAGAGAAAATTGGAAAATTTGACACATTTGAGTATCATTAAAAATCCAAAGCCTAAACATAGGCATTCTGGTGAACTAACTCCATTTACAGTGAAATGCCTTTGTAGCAGTATAACTCAATTGCCCAATGAATAGCAAAATGTCACATTTTAATCCAGAGAACAGATAATGAAACTCACTTCCTGTCTCTTGGTAAAGAGGCAGGGGATTCTGGGTAAGGAATGTTTCATGTAGTCAGAAAGAGCTACAGTGTTGGTAGTTTTTTGCTTAACTTTTTCTCTTACAGGGAAGGGTTTGAAAGGTAATATAGTGTGTGTATATAGTAATATAAGTATTATATATAGCAATGTAAATAACATCAGGAAATGTCTGTGGTATAAAAAACAAAAGTCATCAACAAAACTTTAACAAATAAAAAATAAAGAATGAAACAGTATATATACATCAAATACTGTATTAGATATTCTGGTTGCTAATCCTTTCCTAATTTAGCATATGTTCTTATACATAGAATCACTTACTTAGAACAACTTGCAATATTTATCATTAATGTGCTTACTACCACAAATCATAAAGTACCAAACTATTGCTTCTCCCAATTCATTCTTCAAGATATGGTATACCTTTTAACCCATCAACCTTAGAATTTGCTTTCCTAGGAGTACATTGGCCTTCTACTTACAAAGAAGTAAATTATCTATATAGCTATACATAATTTTGCCCCCCCAATTTTATTTCTGTTTTAAAACCCAAGAAATTATAGCTTCCATCAATCATTCATATTTCTTCTACAAATATTTTTTCAATATAAAATATTCATATAAAGCAACTAAGCAGTATTTCCTTTAAGAAAAATGAGCAGTGTTCAGCTTCCTAGGAGACCTGAAACCACCTTGTTACGATTTCGAGAAGCCTAAGCCTTTGATTTCTATTTTCTTAGCCATAGCAGATTGTGCTAAGTGATTTCTTAGGGCCTCTCCGATCCTAACATTTTATCAGTCAGGATTCTAGTCAAGAAAAGTGATAGAAACATCCTGCTGACTGGCTAGCATTCTTATTTCTCAATGTATTTTCCTACTCCCTCTTCCGGCCACCAGCACTTATTCCAACCAATTCGCCAAGGCAACTCTCTTAAAACAAAATAAATGTTTGGCTTGAAAAATGTAAGCTCTTTGAGAAGAGGGGTTCTTTCATTCTCTGTCATTGTGTCCCTAGCATCTAGCACATAGAAAGTGCTTCATAAAGGCTTATTGATTGAAGGCTACCTTGCCTCAAATAAAAATGGATAAATTTATGAATAGAATTTTTAAGGAACATTTTATATTGGAGGAGGGAGACATTTATAAATAAAACTTTTCAATATAGGACAACCACAAGTTGCACTGAAAAAAAAAGAACCTGTGAAGGAAGCAACGTGCAAATCTGAAACATTTAAAGTCAGTAATTATAAGATGTTTAATCAGACCCAAGATGCTTCTGTTTTTCTCTCTCCCTTCTCTCTCATGTTTTCAAGAAGAAATTGTACCTAAACTAAGCCTTCATCTTGTTACTGTTTCTCAGGATGCCCACTTCTCTTCTTACCCCTTTTTAGTCTGTTTTCTTCTATTGTGCCCTCATTCATCCTCTATTCTCCAGCTATTCTTCCTCAAAAGAAAAGAATCACCAGAGAGAAAAAGGAAAGGTACCAGAAACAATGTCCCTTTACTCCAATAAGGCTAGGATCTCATCAATTGGAGTATGACTAGCTTGAGCAATTTCTATGGGACTTATCCATGCCTGTCCATCATGTCCTCTCACAGGTTCACAAGGAGTTTACTGTCCACCCAAAGTTCAGAGGGGGTGTTAGAGAGGGAGGGATGGCAGAGCCTTCCTAGCCAAAATAATAATAATAATAATAATAATTTTTAAAACTTTGAGAGCCTTTCTCAAAACACCTTTTACCATTACAGACATGTGCTTTTTCTTCAGACTGTGAATTCCTTCAGGAGTTATTTTTTTAGGTTGCATACATATTGCCTGCCACACTGTATGTGTTGAATAAATATTAAATAATATTAATCTATTACAATGTCAAATTTCTTGTAACAACATAATATAGGACACAATTAAAGGAGGAAGTGGAGAAATCTAGACCCTGAAACTCACTGATGTCATCTCAAATCCCATCTTCTTCTGGAGGTCTTTATTACTTCCTTGGGGCTAGGGGAGGGCTTGCCTTCCCTCTGAGATTACCTTCTATTTACTTTGTATGTAGCTTGTAAGTATTTCCTGGTTGTTGTTGCATATTATCTCTTCCATTACAATGTGAGCTCCTTGAGGGCAGGGACTCTAGTTTGGCCTTTCTTTGTATCTCTGGTTCTTAGCCAAGCCTGGCACTCAGCAAGTGCTTAATAAATGCTTCTTCACTGACTGACTTATCTTGGTTCTCTGACGGAATAATTTTCTCTGAGACTTGGGCCAAGTGACCAAGTTGTAAACTTGCCTAGTTTACTAGCATATTGGGCAGATTAAAGTATTTTGTAAACATTAATTAAAGATGCAGAGTTAGGTGAGAGCTATGTGTCATTAAATATCAGACAAAGGATGGTAGTTTTCTTCCCTCTAATCAAGCATTTACTCCTTCTCTTGAGAGAGTTGAAAAGTAAGTAAGGTTAGACCAGGGCTCAGTTAGACCACTCTGGGAAACCAATTTCTTCCCCATTGACCATCCCTAAAATGTGGATAAGAAAAACCCTATCATCTCACTCATAGACTACAATTCGGGTATAAAAGATTGTTCATAATAACTTTATATTTATGTTCAGGGATTTAATAAGAACTGATCATTAAAATTATGCTCCTTCCACCCCACTAATCATCCTACTTTCTTCCTCCTCTCCCAGCATATGAAACGGGTGTCATCCTCAGTCTAGCTGATCTGAGTCTATGAATTACTATACAACTTTTTAGGAAGTTATTTTCGTAGTGACAGATATAAAATGGAAGGTCTTAAGCCACGAGGGATTTTCATTTGTCAACCAGTGTTGTACAAACACAGTAACGCCTAACATTTCCATAACCTTTCACTTGTATGATCTCTCGAGTCTCACAAAAAATTCTGCTAAAGTAGGTATGACAGGTATTATAAGCATTTTCATAGACTGATAAACTGAGTCTCAGAGAGGTTAACTTGACCGTTGATCGCACAGGCATCTGGTACGTGTCACAGGTGAGATTTGAGACACCGTTTCCCTGAATTTATATCCTGCACTCTGCCCACTGGGTTTCCCCTCGTCCCTCCTCATTATTCATTTCTCATCCCCCCTCCCCATCCTGAAGGCAGAGGGTTGGATGAAAACAGACAATATCCCAGCCTGGGACATGTGTACGAGTTTCAGAGTCGAATGTGCCCTATTTGCTTTGCATTCTCAGTCACCACGTTTGCAGTCCGAATGTGTGCAACTCTTGGGCCAGGACAGTTTTCCTCCAACTAACCCGTGCACTAAACGGCCCGACGTGACCCAGGAAGCCCCCAAACACCTAACCGGGACTGGGGAGGGAGGGGGCTCGGTGTTGAGCTTCGGAGACTGTTCCTTTAAATCTCTTGCTCCCGGACTGGGCAGGTGGGAGGTGGTGGCTAAGTCGGGCCGCCCGCCCGCCTGCTTCTCAGTGTCATGCAATGCGCATGGGTGAGTGCTGGGTTGCTCTGCGGCAGCTGCGGCTCAGGGACTGTCGGCTGAAAGCAGGAGAGCTCGACCAGCGCGGCGCAGGGCAGCGCAGCTCCGTGCAGTGTGCCCAGGGCTCCCTGGCTCGCTCCCCGCCCAGCACCTGCTGCCCCTCTGACAGCGGGGCTTCCCACTGCCCCTCGGGCAACAGCTAGGTGAGTGAAGACAGACTGGACCTCCTGACGGGGGGGCTGGACTGAACTGGGGGGCTGGAGTTGTTGGTGGGTATATTAGTGTGTGTTGGGGGTAGGGGGAGGAGTGTGTTGTTGGCCCTGATCGCTTCTTTCCAAGACTTTTCTACCAGAAATTGTATTTAGGGTTTGCGTTAGGAAAATTATTTTACATCAATAGATTGAAGAAGAATCGGACCTGAAGTCTATTCTGCTCTGTCCTCCTCCCCCTCTCCACTTTTCCCCTCCCTTTTCTTCCGATCTTCCCCCTTTCAGCTGTTTCTTCTCTTCTCTACCTCTTTTCCTGCCTTCTTTTCAAAAGTTCTGAGTGTGACTGACAACTCCTTTCCTCCCTTTCCCTCCCCCAAATCGAGGAAAGTCTGTTTGCTGAATTGAATTGAATTGAATCCGTGTGTGAAGGGGACTGAGGTGGCATTTTCCACTCCAAACAAGGAAACTTGTCTGTCCTTTGGGATTTTGGGGGTTCGTGGCAACTAGCTGGGGACGCAGGCGGGACGGAACGGGGCGGGGGGGGGGGCGCTGTAACTAGGAGAAGGTGTCTCTTACTAATAATCACTTCTCATCCCTGATTTTGCCTACCTATACTTCCGTTGTTGCTTCTCACCCATTATTTGCCCTCTTCACCTTAGCAATTCATCTTACGTGCTCACCTCCCCAGTGAATGCCTGATTATTCCCTCTCTCCTTCGTAATCTTCAGAATCTGTCTGTCTTGTTCTCTGAACTTTATCACCTGTTAAACTTAGCTCCAGAATTAAATGATCAGTAGCTTTCCTTCTCCTCCCCATGGCTAGTAATTGAATCATACCCAAATGTTTTGGATCTGCTATTGAGCCAGTGTGGGAAGGATTAAAAAGGGGAAAAAAAAGTGGCTATTGTGGGACAGCTTAACAAAAGGCAATAAAATAAACTGCAGCTTTTCAGCTCACTGGTTTTTCAAACTTTCCCAGTATTGTTTGAGCCTGAATTTTGTCTTGCTTTTCTCCCTCTCTGGAAGAACCACCCTCAGAAAGCTTTAACTGTCTGCCAAGAATAGTATGCAGAAACAGAAAACTTAACATGAGCAGAAGAAAACATTTATCAGTAGAAGGGATTTGTGTTCTGTTATGGGTTCAAGTTGTTTTTGGTGACTGCATTTCTTTATTTACCTTATACCCTGCACTGCACACCCCACCCCCCAATCTTTAATGTAGCCAAGAAAGGGGGAAAAAATCTATTTATCTGAAAGAAATAAGGTAGGAGATATACCAATACTAAGTATATGCATGGGGCAAAGTTCTCGAAGGGGAAACTTTTCTCGGGTTTTTTTTTTCTCACTTTTTAAAGAGTGTAATCACTGTGCTTTGTGCCACAGAGCAATAGGCAAGTTTCCGTCCCGGGAATCTGTTTTCGGTTTGAATACAACTAGTTGTGTTCCCCAAGAGGAAGGGGTCTTTTTAATTTGTGAAGTCAATGTACAAATACAAACCATTTCCCTTCTTATTTGAGATAAGGTGGGAAGGATTGAAAAGGTCTTCACACCCCTTGCTGGAATGGAGAGTATGAAAGTTTCTGTGTTTATTACCTAAGCTAAGGCTACAATAGATTAATCCCTTGGTATTAAATGAGTACCTGTTAACAACTCCACAAATGGACTTTCTTTTGGGGTTCCTTGATGTGTATATGTTTGCTGCTCCCCCCCACCACTGACCCTTTCTTATGTCCAAAATGACTAAAGAGGGAGGAAAAAAGTTAAGGCAGGAAGAAAAAAAAAACTTAGAGAAAACTTTTGGGGTATGTGGGGAGGTAGGGGAGGTACATTAACTTTATTGTCGATTGGGACGTCTGAATTGCTGGATTCAAGAACCAAACTGTCAAAGGAGTGCTACATGTGTCTGGCCCTCTTCCATATAGGTGTCTAGACAATCAGTGTGTATGAGTCAAACTCATGAAGCCTTTATCAGGTGCTGGAGGCACCTGGCACTGGCCCCTGAGTTCTCACAGACACCTATGCAGTCTGAAGTTGGCACCTGATATTTACTCTAAAGGTAGCTGGTCATCTCTAGGAAACATCAAAAGATTAAGATGAGCAGAAATGGAGAGCAATAGAGGGAAAAGAGAGTGGTAAGGGGGACGGTATCTTCAACTAAAGGTGCAAATACATCATATACATTGAATATTTGAGCCCCTCCTGTGTGTACAGCATCATGCTAGGCGTTACACTAATACCAGTGTAGAACCTCATTACCAAGTCCTTTAATTACTTTAAAGGTGAAAGCCATCCTTCAGGTACCCTTTTATTATTTCAAGGAGGAATCCTGCTATGTTGAGACATCTGCCAAGGGTTTGAATCAGGCTTCCAAGATGATAAGGACCAGGTCTCAGTTTCTTCTCCTCATCAATGAAAGTTGTGGTGGTAGCTGCCTTGGGTGCTTGTTGCATCCTGGAAGTGAGGTAGCAGCTCTACCCCATCTGAATGGCCCCTCTTCTTGGAGTCTAGGGAGCATTTCTTTGGTTGCTCCTACAGAAAAGCTTCCACTGTCCATAAATAGTAGTTGAGGCACTGAGAAGAGCAAGAGCGAAGAAAGACAGAATCTGGGTACCTTATACACCCTGATTGTCTAGCAAAGAAATGCAGGTTCAAGGAAAACTGTAACTGGAGTCATTAATGCTGCTCTTCTCACTTTTCCAGACTTACTGCCTTCATCTTAAAGATACTGTGATTCAGTATGTTTCAGGAAAGTGTTGGGATTTGTAATCTGTGTAATCAAGGATGATACTAAGGAGCATGTAATACAGAGTGAACAGTCTGCCATTCAGTCTTTACAAAATGTCTCCAGGTTCTGTGAAGAATTGATTTTCCTTTTGCATTGAATTTATTTTAAGGGTTTTTAAAAAATACTTTTTGTTTTTTACACCCTAGTCATTTTCCAATACACTCCTCTACTCCCCACATCACCTCCCACCCCACACAGAACATTTCCCTGAAAAAGAGCGAAAAGATTCATCAAAATCAACCCATCCAGTCACTGACTCTGATGGCACAGACAGCAGTAAGCATCCATGGTCTCCCACCACAATATTGAAAAGAGAGAAATTCATCATCATCTCTTCTCTGAGGGCAGGAGTTGTTTGATTTTTGTCTTCTATCTCTGGCCCTTAAATGCTTATTGAATGGATGAAAGATTGGTCATTGCATTTAAATCTACATCCAGATGCCTATAGTAGGATTTTTTTTGTGTTAGCAAAATAATTTCCTATATTGTTCCCCAGTTGTGCTTTTTTTTAAACTCTCTGTTCATATAAGTACTTCCTTTGCATTAGATTTATATCAGCATCCACCAAAACTTTTTCATATGTAGAGTAAAAGTGATCATTACTATAGGGTACTTTTTTATGTGTTATAGTATTGCCTTTCAGATCACCATTTAAAAAATTATTATTAGAAAATAATCAACAAGTGTTTCCATATACAAAGAAGGCCTGAAACGAAGGATTGAATATGAAATCATGACTCAGTTACAGACAGCTTGGGTGTTGGGGTTTGTTTTTTGTATATATTAAGTTTAACATGATAGTATCAACGTTGACTAGCTTATCTGTGACCCATTCTGAACTTCCTTCTCTGTGTATTTTTAAAAGTTTTGTTTATACTCTTTTTTCTTTCTTTTTTCGCATCACTATCACAAGCTTCCCTTGTAACAAGTATAGTCAAGCAAAAAAAAAAAAGTATTGGACTTGTCTGAAAATGTATTTCTCAATCTTCACCAACAGCCAGATCATGATCCCTTCTCCACCAAGAGGTGGGAGGCATCAGCCTTCTAGATTAGTCAATGTATTGATCAGAGATGTTACTGCTTTCAATGTTGTTTTCATTTACAAGGTTGTTGATCAGATCACTCTTTCTCTTTGTCACCAACTGTTATCTTTTTGTCCTCTCTCCATATCTCAAACACACACACACACACACACACACACACACACACACACACAAGCACAACCATTTCTCCCAGTCATTTGTTAATGTGATTGCATCATCATTTGATTCATCAACCTCAAGGAACGACATGTGCTTTATGTGTGATGGTCTAGTATCAACATTATGGTTGATTTTTGTTGCCTATTATTGTTTTCTTATATAGTTTTAGTCATCACCTATATTTTTCCTTTGGTTATTATGCCTTCTTCACTCTATATCACCATACAAGCCTTCCTATGTTCTGAATTCTTCATATACTACCATGTGTTCAGCCATTTCTTCCTCTTTGGGCACATACTTAGTTTCTACCTTTTTGTTACCCCAGATCTTGCTACTATAAATGTTTTTGTACATTTATGTCTCTTCTTGCTGTCAGTAATCACCTTGCCATATACTCCCAGAAATGGGATTACTGGATGAGAGTCATCCAACCTTTATTAAGTGCCTGTTCTGTGCCAGGCAGCATGCTAAATGCTGGGCGAACAAAGGTGGGGGATGGGGGGTGTCCCTGCTTTCAGGGAGTTAACAGTCTAATGAGGGAGACAACATGCAAATAACTATGTACAAGCAAGATATGGGCATGATAAATTGGAAATTATCTCAGAGGGAAGGCACTCAGATTAAGGAGGAATGAAAAAGCCTTCTTGCAGAAGGTGAACTTTAGGTGAGAGACTTGAAAGAAACCAGGAGGCAGAGATGAAGAGGGAAAGAGTACCAGTCCTGGAAGATGGCCAGTAGAAATGCCTGAGGTCAGGAGATTTAGTGCTTTGTGTAAGGAAAGAGCAAGGAGGCCAGGGTCAATGGATCAGAGTCAATAGAGGCCAGAAAGGTATAAGAAGACTAAAAAGGTAGGATGGGTTTTGGAGCCAAACAGAGGATTTTATATTTGATCCTACAGGTATAGGGAGTCGGTGAAGTTATTGTGTGGGTCAGATGACCAGACCTGGGCTTTAGAAAGTTCAATCTGACAGCTGAGTGGAAAAGGAACTGGAATGCAAGGAAACTTGA